TATATATATACGGCCCTAATCCTCTTCCGTATATAGACGAATTCTTTTTACAGTCTAAACTAAGACACATGCCTGAAGATCAGGAAAACTGGTCCTGGTAGTCCTGGAAGTCTTGTATCCTGGTTAAAATCCCGCCACAGAGCATGGGAAGCAGTCTCATCCCTGACATCTGATTGGTCCAGACGTTCCGAGTGTTTCCGCTGCCTTTGAGCCGACAGTACAGCGGAAAATCGCTCTCTGTGAGGGATGTGTGTGTGATGTTTTGCGGAGTTAGTCCGTGAACACCATTGGGTTCAGACCACAGATTGTCCTAAAAACTGAACTGCACCTTGAAAGGCTCGGTCCATGAGCCCAGAGATCGGGAGCGAAAGAGGTGAGCTGACACCCAAATCCTGCAGAACATGTCTTTGTGTCAGACCCCCGTCCTCTTCAGAAAAGATGCTAATGTTATGCAGCTGTCTGATCGATATGGTTGAATATATCCTTTATGCAACGTAATGAGTCGTTGGCTTGGAAGTGAATTTGTATTAAATTAGGTTTAAAATCAGATTTCTGCGTTAACATCGAAGCAGGGAGAGAGCAGCGGGTCAAATAGCGACAGCCTGAAAGAGAATGGTGTTAGCATTAGCTTCCCGGCTGCTGAAAAGGTGGCATAGATTAGCACACATCTGCTCGGTGTTCCGCTGCACTCATAGATTACCTAATGCAATCTAGTGATAGTTGGATTGTCGGGCTGTTGATTGCATTAAACTATAATGTCTATAATTGCTTAAGTCATAAACTGCGGAATATTCCTAGCCTAGCTTAGCTTAGCTAGCGTGAAGCTAATAATAGCATCTTGTTTCTACTAGCATTAGCTCATCATACTGTCTGCTACAAATGCTCTAGTTGAATCCAAACTCATTTACAGTATCAATAGTTAAGATTGAACAATTATTAATTATATCGTGTAACGCTTTTTAAATGAATTCATAAAGAACAGTGCTATCTGAACCGGCTTAAAATCAGCTATCGATCTACAGTGTCGCCATCTTGGGAGACACAGTCTGTGGAGCTTGTGTTCTGTCATACAACGACAGCTGTGGCTACAGTGTAGCTTACCATCATCAGTGCGTGAATGTGTGTATGAATGGATGATCTAATGTGTTTTTGAGTGTCTAGAAAAGACGAATGCATTATTATTATTATTAGTTGCTACATCATATTTTAGACCTGGCAAATTCTTCTGGACTCATTAACATTAGAGTCTTTGGGTTTATATATATATATATATGAAATGCCCTTAAATCCCAGTGACATCATGTAATGATGCCACGTTTGTTGAAAGTAGTGCCAACAGAACATCTGGGGTCTCATGCATAAAGAATTGCACAGCTTTCAGCTGAGAGCTCCCCTGACACGCCTCCATTTAAATCTGTAAAATAGATGTAAATGTGTCTAGCGTGAGATTCTCCTCAGATTGTCCTCTCTGTGTGATCAGAAATTAGTTTTAGATGCAGGAAAATGTACATCAAAGGGTCAATATAATGTAAAATCAACTTTTTGAGTTGTATATCATGTTATAATGTTATACTCTCATAAAAAAACATGCCCAAAGCGTTGCTTTGACTCATTCATGCATGTTTGAGAAATCCTGCAGCGTTTTTAGGAAGCCATGCTGAGGAGCAAAACGACAGGTGGGGGACCAGAAACACCTCTGGGACGTGTCTTTAAGCCGAGCTTCCTCATGGCCCATGACTCCTGCAGGGGTGAAAAACCGAAAGTGAAACTTAAACTGTCTTCTGAGCTCCTAACATCAGTTAGAAACATAATATTGGCCCTTTAAATGGAGAATGAGTGAGAAAACTGTCTAAATRAGTAGTGTGGTGTAAAAACGCGTTTGCTACACGCAAAGGTGTGTGGGTGTTGGTTTGTGCGCACGTGTGTGTGAAGCTGCTGTCTTCAGCGGCGCATGAGGCTGAGAGACATTTCCAACTTTACACATCTTTATTAAATAACTGTAAACACAAAGGAACTTATGAGTTTGGTAGAACTTAGAAATATATTTATTATGGTAAATAGTTGAAGTCAAAAAACGAGTCGCAGCGCCAAAGGTTTCTTCCGCGGTGATTTATATTTTAGAATCATGAAATATCTCGTTCAGCTGCACAACTCAGCTCGGAACTACAGTAAAATACCTGATTGTAATTTGTTTGGTGTGATACAAAAAAACAATACAAAAAAAAACACGCTGTCCTCAATTCTTCTTGTGGTGATATCAGCCTGCAGAACAGTTGGCATTGATCCACAAGTTACGTACAGCTTTACGCAGCAACAAATCTATTGTCTGTGTCTTGTGGAGCTGAGGAATCGTCACAGCTCTGGGGTCTCATTTATAAAGGATTGCGTGGAAGCCATACTAAAAGTGAACGTACGGCCAAAAGT